ACACCACAGCTCCCTTGGGAGAGTGACGGGTCACTCTCATGTAACCCCGTTACATTGAGGCCTATTGAGCCGCGGTTCTGCCTTAGGCTCATAAGACGAATATCGTTGCACCTTTGAGCAAGTCGACTGCACGCTCTCCTCTTGCAAAGGGACTGCCATGAAAAAACGCTTTGACTCTCAGAGTCCGCGTTAACAGAGGCATAGAATTTGGATTTGTGCGCTTCTATCAGGAACGAGATCAAGAGCTTTCGAAGTAACGAACACTATTAGCTTGCCCTGCTTGTAAGTAGGCGCTGTTCGCAACAGCCCATCAAACACTCCACACACGCTTGTGCGCCTAGGAAGCGGTTCCCCACGTGAAGGAAGAATAATTGTCCCGACTTGTAGGGAAGATTCACAATTCAAGGCTTCAAACCAGATTTGCAGCTGAATTAAAATGATTGTATGGTTGTCAGCTATATACAACCACATCAAGGGCTCCTAGAGAGTTAGTTATAAAATCTCGGGCTCCTGATTTATACAATTAAGGGTGTACTGAGGTTGAATTTCAGCTTGAACTTAGAAAAGATCTTGAGTGTTTGGAGCTTGAACTTTGAAAAGCTTACGCTCCAATTTTCGTGGAACGTATCCAGCAGAAATGACCGACTTACGTCACCCACTTTGGAAGAGGGAGACCCGTCGATCTCGTCACCAGTACAGATCCCCAAGTAGAAAGCAGCATTCTGTATCACACAAAAAAATTGTGACTTCATATAAGATGTCGCGTATGCATCTGGAAACACCGTAATGTAATCGTCCTTTCATTATTTATTTCCACAATGCAAACAGAAGGTATATAGATTTACCTTCATGTGAAGCTTAATATAGCCCTTACACTGCTACTTCAAGCGTACATTATTACTTCACATAATAAAAATTGCTGGGCTCAAGTGCTTCTATACCCCACCTTCTAGAACTTTATAATGAATGAGCGAGTAAGTGAATTGCATTTCAAACAGTATTCTAATCATAATGAATTTTGCTATTATTTGTCTTTATACTTCCCAGAAGCCGTTCCATGTCAAAGACGCCTTATTCAATCAACAACTCAATACATTTGTCTTCGTTTGAAAGAATATTGGTGAAACAGAATATACAGCAACATTTGATAGACCTTCAATGATTTATAAGTGCTATGCATACAAATATTTAAGGTCTGACCAGGTGATATATATAAAGCACGCCTTCCAAATACTGTATTTTTCTCACGAGCGGCTAGCAGCCCATGTGTACCTTTGGTCCTTCCTTTTCGGTATCATATCAGTTGTAGTAATGTCCTGGCTCTGAAGAATTTCACAAGTACATTAAATTCAATGTGAGTTTTTTTGTATCGTATCGTGACTAATACAAATGCACCGAATGTGTTCGGGTTAGGTATGCAATATTACATTGCTTAAGTTGTTATACTCACTTTGACTCAGATGTGGACAACTGTGAATAACACTAATTTTGTCTTTTCAAGGCACTGCACAAAGTGACCGCTCGACGAGCATCACGTCGCCTGGAGGTCCAAGACACTGTCAGCACTTTACCGTGTCTACTTTTTAAGCGCACATGCACCGAAAGTCTTTTATCGTTGCTCGGATCAAATTCCTAACGAGCTATTGGCAAAAGTGCGATCTTCGTGACTGTCGCGCTTACAAAATTTTTGGACGAGGGTACCACGGAGTTCTCCGACGTACGGTTAGTGACTCTACGAGTTCCGACCAGACACCTCCTACCTGTGCACAAAATAGGGAGGTGCGCTCACTGCACTCAGCTTCCCCGCCGCGCATGTATCTAACTCTTGGTCTTATTCCATTGGCAGAAATTGTTTGACACCCACCGTGGGACTGAGGACGATGTCCAGCCGGCGACTAACGAATTGGACTGTGGTAAAGGATACCAGCTTCCTGTATCGCAAGCATGCGAATCACGCCGTCACATGCAGAATCACACAGTGAATTTAGTTTCAATCACTTTTCGCACTAACGCGGGACTCCTATACGTCTATATGTGCAAGCCTTTCGCCCACGACAAAATAAAAAGCGTGCGAAAGATAAAAGGAATGTCGGTCCGCAGATGCTTTTACTGACCATAGGCCATTAATCACCCCAGTGGTACGTCTGCGCTCGGAGCAGCAGCTGTTGGACGATCCGTATCTATGCATTTTGGTACTAAAAGTAAGCCAAAGTTCAGCTGGGTACATGACACTCAGTGACAAAAACACGCCGCCTCAAACGGCCTACGAAGAGCGTCATCTCACACTTAACTTTGCAAAGTTCAAGGTACGATGCAAATGTCGAGGCTCAACTTATCGCCTCAAACTCATGCTGGTTACAGCCTCGTTCGTTTCATAGTCTCTACATTCGTACGCACCATCTACGCACGAATGAACGTACGGAAGACAATCAACTGGCGTATAAACCACACACCTATCACAATGTGAGCTATGCGTGAACGAGCAAAAGCCGACATGGTATTGGTACCCAAGAGACGCACCGACCAGCGGATTCTTATCGCAAGGCTGATCGCTGGGACGAGCGACCCGTCGCTTCTTTAAAATAAGAAGGATGTGCCAGGTTGTAAGTGGCCACAACACTAGAATAACCTTGTCGAAGTGGGATCTCAAATTCCCAAGTTTTCATACTGAAAAAAAGCCTTCTACTTCGCCAGACACTAGTAACAGTTCCAATGCACCCGCAAAATTCCAAAGAAGAGTAGACCACACCAATCAGTGCCACTCGATTTTGACGGATACGTCTTTTCTTTTAAAAAGTGCTGGTATGCATCGTTCACAAAGAAAAATCAAATTCCGGCTTCGCTCTCCAAGTTTTGTCACCGAACTGCAAATTAGCACTTTCAGATGGTGTCGCTGCTTCGAAGAAAAGGATATTTAACTACAGGGGATAGTAAAGACATATGCAACAGAGATTTTCATATCTGACAGGCTCCTAAGGGCGGAATCACGAAGTTGCTTCAGTAAGTTAGAAAAAAACGGTGTGTTTTTTCGCTTCGAGATATTTAGTGTGACTTAAACCGTTTTGCTGCCACGGTGCTTGGTTGTAACTTGGTCTGACATGTCACAGATTCTGCATGTATAGTCAAACTCAATGAGCGGGAGCAGTCACTCCAGCGACGAGGTCTTTCAGCGCAACCCCCCTAAGCATAACCTCCACAACGCGATTCACGCGTTTGCAGATGGTCAGCGGCTGACATATGCTTTCTGGTGCCAAAAGCCTTGAATACTGTTTACTAAAACCTTGCTGCACAGCGCAGATCTCTACCCAATACAATAGCTACCAGCAAGCCATGGTGGGAAAACCCTTGACCGATTTGAAGCTTGGCTTTCTCCTCACCGATCGCAACATCGCCGAGAGCAGCGAGATGGGCCATCTTGCTTGATAGGTCCACAAATATTAATTACCGGATGCGTATTTTGGAAGACCGGTTATAGCGGCCATGCCGATAGACTGTTTAAATTGAGAAGTGCAGCCGCATGCAGCGAGGGTGAAGCGTACTCACCGAGGATTGAGGTAGCCGCCAGAAGGGGTGCCATGTGCCTTACGCAGTGTTCTATCGCATTATGAGATACCACTACGCGCTCGGTATTATGCGATTCCCGTGCTGTCATATAGCAAGCCTGGGGGAGACATAGCGGTGCATACGAGCCCCAATAAACTGACGTCTAAGTACGCTGTAATTATTGCCTATTTCATTGGTGACATCATAAATATTGGAATGATTCTTTCGCCATTCTGTGGGGCAACGTGACTGTGCACAATGTCTTTCGTATTTTTTCAGCTCATAAATGGTTACAAGCCAAGCAGGTGATCCTCAGCTTCACAAGGGCATTTCTCAGTACAAGTACTCTCAGTTATAAACAATAATTTCTTACGTGGACTTTTTAGCTGACGATACTCAAGCACAGTCACTCAATTATGACCAATAGTATCTGCGTAAAGCAAGACACAACCTATTGCAACGGCTGAAGTGTCTCAGACGACGTGAAATGGTCGATTCGGATTCGAAAGAGCCTGAATCGGAGTACGCATGTGGCTTTTTTCACAGCTTTGAAGGCAGCCCTGTTGCCGTACCCAACGCCAGTCAAATGCATCTTTAAGGAGATTTGTGAGGGTTCGAGCTATGCTGAAAATACAAGCCACTTTCTGAAGTACTTTTGGTAAAAAGGAAATGGCCAATCTACAATGACCTGTATCTTCGCGGGATCTACTCGCAGGCCCTGCTACGCAATGAAGCGGAGGATAATGAAAAAGTTGACCTGACCAGTATATGGTTTTTGATAATTTGTTAGAGACGATTAAAACCGATACTTTGGTACTTCTGATCGATCACAATTACAGTTACAATATTGTAACTCGCACAAGTGTACATTTCAATGCTTGGAAGCGTAAGGAGTACAGTACGTGACCGGACTACATAACGAACCTGTCGATGAATGTGTGTCGACAACGCGAGATCAGGTGGTCCACGTGAAATCAGGTGTCAAAAAGTAAATCCTTTCATAAATTTGACAAAGATTATTAATGAGATTATATTTGTGTAGTATATGGAAAATAACCCAAGTTTTACCAGGTCTTTAAGAAACACTTCAGTGGTTGGCTTGAAGGACAATGCAGCGCGATACTAAGCGACGTACGTGGTGATGAGCACGAGCCCTTCTCTATAAATAATTATCAGTACATTGTTCCAGCTAATCTCTTCCATTCGACTGTTGCTTTTCTTTTTAGGCACGCGACTGGTAGATGCAGATGACGAAGACACAATAGAGTTCACAACGTCTAAAGACATCACCGTTTATCCCACGTTTGAGGCCATGGGGCTCAAAGAAGATTTATTACGAGGAATTTATTCATATGGTACAAGTCGCATCTATCTAATTTCCTTGAGACGCCATGCTGGTACCAATATTTATGTACTTTTATCTGCTATTCAATTAGGTTTCGAAAAGCCTTCGGCAATCCAGCAACGTGCTATCAAACCCGCTATTCAAGGTCGTGATTTAATCGCTCAGTCACAGTCAGGGACAGGCAAGACAGCCGTCTTTTCCATCTCGATTTTGCAGTCGCTGGATACATCCAGCAATGAAACACAGGCACTTGTGATTTCTCCCACTCGTGAATTAGCTGAGCAGACACAAAAGGTAGTACTGGCACTTGGGGATTTTATGAATGTTCAATGCCACGCTTGTATTGGTGGAAAGAGCGTAGGCGAAGACATTCGCCGTCTCGATTTTGGTGTTCAGGTGGTTTCTGGTACACCTGGTCGAATCTTTGACATGATTCGTCGACGCAACTTGCGTACACGCAATATTAAGCTGCTGGTAATTGATGAAGCAGACGAGATGCTAAATAAAGGATTTAAGGAGCAAATTTACGACATTTACCGGTATTTACCTCCATCTACTCAGGTACTTTTGGTATCCGCCACGATGCCGCAAGAAGTTCTCGACTTGACTCGCAAGTTCATGAATGAACCAGTAAAGGTGCTTGTGAAGCGTGATGAGCTCACACTTGAAGGTATCAAGCAATTCTTTGTGGCAGTTGAGAAGGAAGAGTGGAAATTTGACACGCTTTGTGATCTCTACGATACGTTGACGATCACCCAAGCCGTAATTTTCTGCAATACGAAGCGTAAAGTGGATTGGCTTACCTCTAAGATGCGCGAGGCGAACTTTACTGTAGCTGCCATGCACGGTGACATGCCACAGAAAGAGCGAGACGCTATTATGCAGGAATTTCGTTCCGGTGGCTCGCGTGTGCTCATTACGACGGATGTTTGGGGTCGTGGACTTGACGTTCAACAAGTTTCTCTGGTAATATGCTATGATTTACCAAACAACCGCGAGCTGTACATTCATCGCATTGGTCGTTCTGGACGATTTGGACGCAAGGGTGTTGCCATTAACTTTGTAAAGGATGATGATATTCGTATCTTGCGCGACATTGAACAGTACTATAGCACTCAAATTGATGAGATGCCCATGAACGTGGCTGATCTCATTTAATTTCTCAAACATGAATTTGCATGTTATATTTGTCAAAAGTTATAGAGGATTACAGCTCATCTTGGTGGACGCTGCGCATCTGTTGCTGATTTTGGAGCTGCTGAGTAGAGGCTCATTGTGTGGTAAAGCTTTCATTTCAACAAAAGGATTCATTGCCTTCTTTTCTTCAGTTCGTCCTGACAAATTCTCTTCCTTTTCCCATTTCTCGAACAAATCACGACGCTGTTGCCGTCTTTCTTCCATCATGTTCACCCAAAACCTTTCAATAGCGTTCTCGTCCATCTCTGGAAATCTGTCGATAGCGATGCTACGAGTAGTATCAAGTATATCGCTATCTTTATCCTTGACATACGGCTTACTTTCGAGCACCATCAGGTCAAAACTCTCTTCCTTACGTTTGCTACGGAAGTGGGGTGACGTTAACGTTATCTGGAGATGAATCACATAGTGAAAATCGCCCAACTATATTCTGCTCATTAAATTTTAATCTTTTTATATTGCTGAATAAAAGTGAACCCACCTCTGTCGCTGCTGCATGGATCTTGGCCAGTGTTAATGTTGTGTATATGCCCGAATCCGATAGTGTACGAAGTTGAGATACTGCAAACTGCATGAAATGAGTCATAATGACATGAATAACATATAACACAGACACGTAAATACATTTGCGGCGTCAATGATAATAGGATCATTAGGCAGCTGAGGTGTGCGGACGTTGGAAAAGTAGGTGCGAGGAGTGATAGAGGCGAATACATTGATGCTGTAAAGCTGAGCAAAGATGGCAATCACATAAAAGAAAGGAAGCAGCGAGACAACACAAAGATCGCGCTGTAGAAACATTTGAGCTGAAATTAAAAGTATGCTTTTCTAAAATACATTATCCAAGTACTGCTCGTTTGTTCTTCCCAAACTTTTGGTAGCGCAAATGCACAATACGAAGTAACCCGAGTTTTGATATGATGGAGGACAAGCGCTGCATATAAGCTCCGCAATGAATGTCTCAGATGGGAAGCATCATAGGAAGAAACGTTGTGACCACAAATGCGAATTAGAGCTTTTATCACTTATTTCCGTTTTATATCCTTGTCGTTAAAAATTGGTCGATTGGCTCTCACTTTGACGTAATGGAAATCATCAACGACAAAAGAAAAGCTTCTCCAGAAACATTCCATTCGCCTAATGCAGACGCAAGCCTCGTGTACAAAAAGCGCAAACCCACTCATGACGAAAAGGATGAGAAATTATCACAGACTAAAAAGACTAAGCGGAAGTACCGAAAGTCTACGATCAATGTGCGCAAGGTTGAAATAATTGTGACGATTTTATTGTAATACTGTATCAAATTGACGGATTATCACAGGAAGAAATGGCGGGCTTATTGGTAGAGCTCTCTAGATTGCAAGCAGAGATGGAGCAGATCAAGTCGCGCGCATTTGCTGTATGTGTCGGAATGGAAGCACGGTCTCCGGCCGAGTTACAGTGTGCGAATCGAGTGTTAAGGCGAGCAATCCAAACACAGCAACTCGAACATACAAAAATTCACGCAATTATGTCCGAGTACTCGTTATTTGTGAGTGTACTTTGTACAAATTTCTTTCAACATTTTTTTTCTAACTTCCGGTGCCAGAATCTCAAAATTGGAAGTCCGATTCATCGACCAATTCACTTGCAAAAAGACACACATGCACGTCGAGCTACACTGCTGGCTCTCAAAAGAAAAGCGCTTGATGAAGGAGCTAAATTTATAAATGACCGCCGACCACGAGTAGACCCTTTGAAACCCATGCGAGAGGACCATGGGTACGAAGCTCCAAACGGGGACTTTTACGCGACATATATCTCGACGATGCAGTTTGAAAACACTGTCAAGCAAGTGTTTGACATCTTACTTGGATATCTAAGCAGCATCGAAATTACTGTATCGGAAAAACTTGGCAATGTTACAATTCGCGAAGATGACGACAACGTTGCTCCTGGTATTGTGCAAAATCGACTCGTGTCGACTACAACCGGTGGCTTGCGGATGGAATCAAACACAGTACATTTTGCACGATACGAGCCAGGCAACGACGACTCAGGTCCTCAGAATGGTTACGGTATTCTCGTCGCGGATTATGTTGATGACGATGATTTAAATCCATATCATCCACATGAACGTATTCGCCGCAATTTTAGCGCTGTATTGGAGCTCACATCGTATCCTATTCGACACGGAGTTCGCACCCGGTCCAAAAACACGAGTGCGGGACGTGTTGTAGTACTTACTCGATGGGTTCACAGCAAAGTGTACCATCCTGAGTACGAGATTCCACAATCTGGCTGGCATGAGATGCGAGACAATACCGAGCGCTGGATCCAGACACTGCATCATGCCATGATGGAGCGCTTGTCTCCCGTTGTTTGTTGTCAGAAGTGATCGACTCATCTGTGAAACATTTTGCCAATCGGATATTAACAATCTGCTGGAATACAATGCGCTGAGGAAGAGTTACAATGATCCCATTTTCGCAAGTAACTATCAAGTTTGACATCATTCACGAAATACTTGATAGTTTAACTTTTTAGAACGCTCTCGTCGTCATAGTCGAAGATACATTCAATCATTTGAAGATATTGTTACAATTGCCGGGAGTCTGAGATACAGTGTGTCAAGATTAAAGGATATCCAAGTGTGATCTGGCGTCTTACAGAATGTACTGAAAATAATAATTGTGCAATATTTGCTTTGAACGCACTAATTTGAACACGGTTCACAATAGTTATTTCTATGCTCACTTTTTATACTTGCGTCATGTAGATGACATAAGGACGCATCACCATTCGTCTCGTCGACAGACACAAGAGGGACAACTTATCGATGTAAAAGCCTTCGGCGTCGAAGGCCTAATTAGAAATCATTGTAGCCGATAGCCGTTGCAAATTTGTGCTATCTGTCTGCGAAAAAGAATCCTGACATAGATTAAGACGATCAATATATCCATTAACAGTTAAATTAAGTGATACTGCTGAACCTATAGAATGTTATTATACATCGATTCACATCCGACCGACGCCATTCTTGGCCGTTGTCATCGTTTTCGTAGATCCTCAATGTCTATGGTCATTATGGTTTTGTATGAAGCGAATGGCTGTAGTAGATGACATCGATCCGGAACGAACGACGTTCATTTATACTCGGTACTCCATCCCCCCTGCAGCGATGATTCTTTCTCTAAAGACGAGAACCTTGTCAAACTTCGTGTGCAGGTAGCTTTCCCCCGTCTCCTTCATCACGCTGACAATACTACCCGACACTTCCCTATGTAAAGCACAAATCATGCGCATGCAATAATTCTAGTTGTCTCACGAGGACGCTTGACATTGCATAAAATCGTTTTGTGATTTTGTAGGGAGGACAATCAGCGCTTTGAGTGGGCAATCATAAAGTAAACCCCTCAGTGGTCACATATCACTTAGAATTGGAAAAGTAGAGTGCGAAGACCGGCTGGTTTTGAAGGATTCAGCTCATCTATTAATTTGGTAGTCAGGGCATTGACCAGTTTTACATCAATCAACCAATTCGAAACTTTAGTTACTATACTTTATATAGTTGAAATCTGGCTTATCGTCATATGAGAATCCCAGAAGCTTACACAGAATGATGTCCAGCATAATGCTCTTCATAGCTGTGGTTGTACGTGATGACAGCTCTCATTGTCTCTTTGTTGGTATACGACCGTGCATCAAAGAAGCTATCTATGTCGACCTCGTTCTCTGACGAGGCAATGTCGGAGCGAATGTTGCATTAGCCGAGGCACAACCGCCAGATGTGCGCCAGACTGTGACAGTCTATTTGACCTCACACGAGTTTGGTAAAAGGCGGCCGTCATCCACGTATAGAAGTGGTGTTGGAGCTGTAGCTGGTTGCAGGCCACGTTGTTTAACGAAATCATGCAGCAGAGTAAATTACTTATTGCCTACATCCACTAAGCGGGAATGGGTGGCGTAAAGCAGAGAATGAACAATGCGGCAGCGTAATCACGCGTCTAGTGGTCGTCAAAAAGCAGGGGATTCAATTAACTAGCGTCTTAGCCATTAAATGCTTTAGTGTAACGGCGCATATACAAGCAGAGATTGAAGGGGCGGCCCTTGTAGCATGCTTTCCGAACAACTAAAAGGTGGACCCAAATCATGTTATTGTATGGGTCTATGGTGTTAACATGTCTCAGACTTCACTTTCTGTCGCTTTCTCAGATTACGTCTGCCGACCAATGCAAATCTTCTTGATATAATGTTGAGGAGACTGTTGGTTGAGTGAGAAAAATGGAAAAGTGATTGATCAAAGTGCATCCTTCATATGCAGTCTAAACCAAAGGTTCCTAGCCTACTGTTGCAGTTGAACTTCACTTGCTTCAACATCAACCTGATACTGGATCTGGTCCTGTTGAACTTCACTTACTTCCACACTCCCCCTCGAAGATAAGTTTCGGATGTTGGACTTTACAAGCAGGAGTTCGAACTGCTTAATCGTTTTTGTCAGGAAGACTGCCAGCTGTATCTTGGTATCGATATATTTGAGTTGGATTATCTTGGATTCGACTTGATCGCGGACGAAGTGGTAACGGATGTCGATGTGTTTGGCCGACTCTGATATCCGTCATTTTTCGCGATTGCGATCGCGCATTGATTGTCTTCATAGATGGTAACTGGGAGTCGATCTTGATCTTCATCTCCGATAGTAGGCTCTTCACCTAGAGTATTTCTTGGGTACAGAGGGTCAACGCCACGTATTCGGCTTCTGCTATACTGAGCTGAGCACTGCTTTGTAGCTTGGACTTGAAGATGACCGGGGAATTGTTAATCATCACCATGATCCTGGATGTCGAGCGTCGGTAGTCTTTGTTGCTTGCCCAGTCGGCATCGCTGTAGGCGCTTAATTGGATTTTGCTGGAATCTACTTGATAGAATATACCCTTGGTCTCCGTTGTCTTCAGATACTTGAGAACACGAATCGCTGCATTCCAATGTTCTTTGCTTGGTTGCTCCAAGTGACGACTTAGTTGGCACACTGCAAATGCGATGTCGGGCCTTGTTCCTGTTGCCACGTTGAGTAGCGATCCGACGAGAGACCAATACGGTCTTTTCTTCATTCTTGGGTCAATTTTGTCGATCTTGATCATATTTTGTCCAGCAACACAAGGGTAGCATACATTTTTGGCGTCAGCTTGGTTGAAATTGTTAACCATCCTTGAGATGCAAGCCGCTTGACTTATCTTAAGCGTACGTGCTTGTTGGTCGTAGTCGATTTCGATCCCGAGTATGAATCGCGCATTTACCAGAACTTTGAGCTGAAAATGTTCTGCGAGTTCGTCGGCAATTTTCTTGATCGATATCACGGACTTCGCTCCGATAATCATGTCGTCGACGTATAGGCTCACGTTACTCCTCGGCGTACAAAAATGCACGAGTCCGAGATGCATGGTGTGAAACCCATATTCTTAAACACCTTGGAAATGGTTTCAAACCATGTTTGCAGCAGCTTGTTTGAGACCGTATGTACTTCGATTAAGCTTGAGAACTTGATTCGACTTGACTTTTACACCTTGAGGTGGGTGGATGAAAACATCTTCTTCCAGATGTCCGATTAAAAAGGCTGTGTCGACATCGTATTGATGGATGTGCAGACCTGAATGACAACAAAGTACCAAAAACACACGAATCGAGCTCAGGTTTCTGAATAGTCGATTCCGTAGGTTTGTCGATACCCCAATGCGACAAGTCGAGCCTTGAAACAATCGATTTCACCGTCTTCATTACGCTTAATTGTGAACACCCATTTTATTCCGATGACTTTCTGACTTAGATTATTCTTGACCGGTGTCCATGTCTTCTTTTATCAAGTGTTTTCAATTCGGCACTGATAGCATCCTTCCACATTTTGGTTTGTGGGGAATTTGAGGTTTCCTTGAACGTGGTCGGGGTATCGAGAGCTGCGTTTGCTTGTTCATATTCCATTCGAAATCTTTTCGGTGGTCGGTCTGTCGATGGAACAATTGCATTCGAATGATCGGCTGGTAGTATCGCGTAAGAATTATCACTCGATGAAAGCGCAATCGGGGTGTTGTGCCCATGCCCAGATGATCCAAAAATTGGTGAATCATCGATGGCTTCCAATCTCCCCCCGGACACGATAGCCTGATTGTCGTACATCAAACTTGTTTCAAAACGCCATCAGATTGCACGAATTCGTCGTCGATCTCGAACATCGGGTCCGAATAATGGGAGTGTCGATTTTGAGCAAATGCGCCACTAGTCGGAGGGACATTAATGTTGTCGTTTCCGGTGTGGTCGACATTGGTTCAGGAGAATTTCGATTCGGGCGAGTTGGTTCACCATGATTTTCTTCTTCGTCAAATCGTAGTGGTTGTGTAAATCGATTTGCTGTCACTTCGACGTAATCCGACTTGTGAAATTCCTTAAAAATCTGCTAAGCGATTATTTTCTACTCTCTTGGTTCGAGGTTCCAAACTCGAAAACCCTTGACTTCATCTGAGAGATCTAGGAAAATGCCTCGAGACGCTTTCTTATCCATTTTGGAGAGTTTGGCCTTTTCAACATGTGCAAAACCTTGAGCCCCAAAAACAAACACATTCGCAAGATCGGGTTTCCGTTCAAAACAGATTTTGTACGGAGTTTTTCTTGGATGAGCTGCGCACGGGATTCGGTTTGTAAAAAACACTGCCGTGTTCATCCTTTCAGCCCAAACTTTCTTGTCTACGTGCATGTGATTTCACATCGATCGTGCACGTTCCGTGGTCATTTGGTTCATCCGTTCCGCTAGCCCATTTTGTTGTGCCGAATACGGAACCGTGGCTTGGTGGATGATTCCTGACTTGCGACAGCTTCCATTAGATCGTTTGTTGACATATTCGCAACCATTGCGAATACACTTGATCTTGACATTGAGCCGATTTTTTTTAGTTAATTTATAATCGATGAATTGATCAACTACCTCAGACTTGTGCATGATGAAGTAGGCCACCACGAATCTTGAAAAATCTCAGGCTTATCTTGCTCCTCCTTGAGTTGTGGTCTCCATTGGACCCATAACGTCGCTGTGGATGACTTGAAAGAGGGATTTCGTCTTGACCATATCCCAATATTGGAAATGGCTTAACCGTGCACTTTTCAGTCACACATCCTTCACAGATTTCATCGTGTTCGACATCATCTTCACAGATATTCCTGACTTTAAACCGGTTACTTGATCTTTGGGTGTTTTTCAGCGTCTTTGTCGGTAGGTGTCCCAATCGGGCATGCCAGACGCTTGCATCAACTGGTTTTGTGTATTTACTAGCTTCTTCACTCATGTTCGCCGTTTCTGTTGGAATACAATCTAACACAAACAGTTTCCCTACTTGATGAATTTTCGTCACGAGTCTTGACCATTCTTGATCGTGCAACTCTTGTTGTCGAAAGTGACTTTAAGTCGTTTCGCTGATAGAGCCGAAATCCAAAGCAATCTTAAGTCCAAATCTGGAACGTATAAAACGTTCTCGATCCGGATTGGTGCCTTGTTCTTCAAAGTCACTCGAATTGTCCCGACTCCGGCTGCCATGATCTTACCATTATTTGCAACTTAAATGGCAATTGGCGAGTTGAGTGGTCAAATTTCCTTGAACTCGTCTTGTAATGGGCAGATGTGGCTACTTGCACCACTTTCCAATATCCAACCTTCTGAATAGTGCTCCGAAACGATGAACGCTTGTCCTTTATTGGACCGTTTTTTATTTGCCGGATTGGACCAGCATTCTTGTGCACTATGGTTGGTCTTCTTGCAAAATTGACATGATAATTTTGGCTTTGCCCATCGACCTTTAGGTCGGGCACCCTTGTTCTTATACTCACGTTCGCGCGTGGCCTTCAGAGCAATTTCGTTGCTCTCCTTCCGAGTAATGCTGCTGTATTTGCGACGAAGCATCTCCTTCGCTTGAAGCGAGTCCATATTTCCTATGTTCTCGATAATCTTGATCATTTGGTCGTAGTCGACTAGCAAACTTCCGAGGAGGATTACGGTACGACACTTCTTCG